ATCACTCTGCAGTGGGGGCAAGGGACCGACCTGAGCTGCCCCCTTCGTCCTGCCAAGGCTTGTCCTGAAAAATCTCCGTCCTCTCCCGCACTGCGGAACCCGAAAAAGGAGAAAGGGAAAAAAAAAACCCAAAATCAGGTCTCGGAGCTATTCCTGGCCACCAGCTCCCCTGCCCACGGTGGCCACGGCCACCAGCTCCCGTGCCCGAGGTGGCCACGGCCACCAGCAGCTGCCTGGGGACTGGGATTACCAGGATTGGGATGCGGGTGTTACTGGGATTGGGGGTTATTAGGACTGGGGGTAATTAGGATCAGCAGTGGGCATTATTAGGAGCGGTTTTACTGGGATCAGGCACTATTAGGACTGGGGTGCTGGTGTTACTGGGATCAGGCACTATTAGGACTGGGGACTGGTGTTACTGGTGTGGGGGGTTATTAGGACTATTAGGACTATTAGGACTGGTGTTACTGGGGTGGGGGGTTATTAGGACTGGGATGCTGGACTGGGATGTTGGTATTATTAGGACTGGGGGTAATTAGGATCAGCAGTGGGTGTTATTAGGAGCAGTGTTACTGGGATCAGGCACTATTAGGACTGGGGAGCTGGTGTTACTGGGATTGGGGGTTATGAGGACTGGGATGCTGGTGCTATTGGGATTGGGCTTTATTAGGACTGGGGTGCTGGTATTATTAAGACTGGGGGTAATTGGGATCAGCAGTGGGTGTTATTAGGAGCAGTGTTACTGGGATCAGGCACTATTAGGACTGGGGAGCTGGTGTTACTGGGATTGGGGGTTATGAGGACTGGGATGCTGGTGCTATTGGGATTGGGCTTTATTAGGACTGGGGTGCTGGTATTATTAAGACTGGGGGTAATTGGGATCAGCAGTGGGTGTTATTAGGAGCAGTGTTACTGGGATCAGGCACTATTAGTACTGGGATGCTAGTGTTACTGGGATTGGGGGTTATTAGGACTGGGATGTTGGTATTATTAGGACTGGGGGTAATTAGGACCAGGATGTTGGTGTTATTGGGATTGGGCATTATTAGGACTGGTGTTATTGGGATTAGGTGCTATTAGAAGCAGGATGCTGCCGTTATTAGGCTCAGGAGTCATCAGGATGGGGGTACTGGTGTTACTGGGATTGGGGGTGATTAGGACTGGGATGCTGTTGTTACTGGGATTGGGGGTGATTAGGGCTGGGGTGCTGGTATTATTAGGACTGGGGGTAATTAGGATCAGCAGTGGGCATTATTAGGACCAGTTTTACTGGGATCAGGCACTATTAGGACTGGGATGCTGGAGTTACTGGGATTGGAGGTTATTAGTACTGGGGTGCTGGTGTTACTGGGATGGAGGGTTATTAGGACTGGGGTGCTGGTATTATTAGGACTGGGGGTAATTAGGATCAGCAGTGGGCATTATTAGGACCAGTTTTACTGGGATCAGGCACTATTAGGACTGGGATGCTGGAGTTACTGGGATTGGAGGCTGTTAGGACTGGGATGCTGACCTGGGGCTGAGCATCCAGGACAGAGGGGGGGAGCCCAGAGCAGCGCAGCTACGGCCCCCCCCCAGGACCGGAGCCCACCAGGAGTGCACCCACCTCCCCCCAGTGCCGTGACCACCCCAGGGTGGGGGCCACAACCCCCCCCGGCCCCCCCAATGCCTGGATCCGTCCCCCCCACTCCCGGCAGCCGAGGAAGCTGCTCCCCGTGGGGAGAGCGCAGCTGGGGCTGGCTGGGATTCGGGGCATCCATCCAGGGGCCTCC